CAAGTTTTAAGACTGTTTGAAAACAATACCAAGCTGAAAACTGCGCTAGTTATATTGTTTATTCATTTTCAAAGCAGAAGGGTGGGTTGTAGTCACGATGCCGCACCGTTGCAGTCTTTTTTATGTGCAAGCAGGAGCTTATCTTACGGGCCGCAGTCCCCCCCCGAAACCCGAAGTTTGTTCAAAATACATGTAGTGACTTGACACCGGCACGCCAGGCCCCTGCCGAACAGAGTTGCCTGCGGAGCGAAGTGAAGCTGGTGACTTCGTTGGGCGGATGAGCGGGCCTGCTTGTAAACATCAATTTCTCACCTTTGAGTCGTCCGAACCTGGAAGAGGGAGAAACGCTCTCTCCTGACTCCAGAACTTTGCAGATGAGATATCGTTACATGATGTTGACTGTGTCTACCGTGATAATATCGATAATACATTTATAGAGTACAGTATTGATCTAGAGCGCTGAGCGGAAGTAGAAGAACAAACACGTCAGATGGAAAGGCAACCGCACTCATCCCCGCCTTCCCTCCACTTCTCCCCGGGCGCTCCCCCACTCCGCCCAGTGGAGAAGAGGGGCAAGGCGTGGGCGCCTTTCCACCTTCCGTTTTTAGCTCACTCTTCTGTTTAAAAGTTATATAAGCGTTGCAAAAAACACAACATTTATTTCTTTGTTTTGTTGTACTTCACAAGCTGCTTCCCTCCTTGGCAAAAAGATGGTTCATAGCAAGCCGTCACTCAACCGGCCCGAAGGCGCGTTTTCCGATAGAAGCTATATTACACCATGAAAAATCAGAAGGGATCCGCTTCGCTCCACCGGCAACTCGGTTCGGCAGGGAGCAGGCCTAGCTTGAAGTGCCGGCGGCGTTTTTGGGACGGGCCTTCGGCTTCGGCCCGTATCCCTTCTGATTTCTTAGCTTGTTGTTCTCAGCGCTCTAGACCAATACCCCATTTGTTACCCATATCGGAGCTCACTGTAAAACATATCTATAGCATTACCAACATTCAGCTATGGTTTTAAACTACCGAGTGTCCGGGTGAATAGGCCTCAGATCGGAGTGTTGCCTAGGCAAGCGCCTGAGGGCGACGGGGGAGTAGGGGGAGTTGGCGGGAGGGGGCGGCGGTCGCTACGTGAAATTTTGTGATATGTAATACAGTTAACAGTGAGGCCTGCCTGATCGATGGCGCTGTTTCTGGCCGTTGGGGTCGGACATTTGGCTCGTCTAGCCCGCTGGTCCACTTACTGATATGAAAGGGTTTTGAAGAGCCTCCAGATCCTTTGCAACGACAGACATGCGCTCCAGGGCGGCGCCCAGGGCTGCTCTGCGAAAAATGTAGAAGATCTGCGCTGTGCTGCAGCCCACGATGCCGGTCACGAAACGTGTGCCCAGGCTAGCAGCCAGGTAGGTGTTCTTTGTTAAGCAGTCCATGATAGCCAATGAAACGACGATGATGTTAGACGCAATCGACAACTGAGGAAGGAATTAAGAGGTAAGTGCACAGAAACCTGAGAAGAAAAACTTTCAGTCAAAGTTTCCCAACGAACAGTTCTGTCGTGAAGCGAAAAGAAGGGGGTAAGCCCACCTAGCACCATGACCTTTTAATCGTCTGTTCCTGCCGTCAGGTACATCGGAAGTTCCCAAAATGACGTTGTGAAGTAAGTTTTCAGTGCAAGTTAACTTATTCTCGGGATGACTTCAGGAACATCCTTTACAACGAACGGTGTTACACGATTAACAGGTCGTGGTGCTAGCTAACTAGACTTACCTCCTCCTGCTTCACGGCTGAATTGATCGAGAGGAAAGGCTCTGCCCGTGTAGGAAACTACGGTTTGCAGTGTTGTTGCAGATCGGAAAGGTCATGTAATGTAGAAAAGTCAGTAAAATTGAGTCCGCAGTCACTAAAATTGTATGTACAAGTTTTCGTGATTTAACGTAAAAATGTTGTGAAATGTTTCGTAAGAAATACATAATAAGTGGAAATATTTCGTAAGTGAAGTGTAATTTACGAAACTTTCCGTGAGTTTAGAAATATATTTTGGGGCGATAACGAATTGTTAAATGATAAAATCTGTCAAAATATTTAATAATTGTATTCTTTCTAAAACCTGTTTGTCATTTTACACAGTAACTCTCATAAAAAACCTTTGATAAAAGGTGAAAATATCGTAATAGAAAGTTAACAAAAGAAAACGTCGAAAACCACGATAACTTCTGTGATAGTGGTACTCCCTCTTTTACGGTCAAAAGCTATGGGGTTTTCACTGACGTGGTGCACTGTACACCAAAACCGAGGAGTGTGGAACTGGTCAAAAAAGTGTACACATGATTGTGTCTAGACAATCATTGTTTCACATTGTGTGTGATTGTTCATGATTGTGTCGATGATTGTCTCTGATTGTTTATAATTGTTGGGTCAATATTGAGACATAATTTTAAAAATTGTGTCATGATTGTGTCCGACTGTGTGTGATTGTGTCCGATTGCGTGTGATTGTCTCTTATTGTGTGTGATTGTCTCTGTTTCAGATGGTTGGATAAATATTGTGACATCTTTTGCAACATTGTGTCAGATTATGACCTCTGATTGTATGTGATTGTTTTGTGATTGTGTATGATTGTTTCGGATTGTGTGTGATTGTTTACGATTGTGTGTGATTGTTTCATGATTGTTTCTGATTGTTTTTCCCGATGTACACGTATTGTGTCCAGTTCCACACCCGTCGACCAAAACTACCCGTACAAAGACAAATTGTCTTCCACAAGGATCGCACAGTTAAAGTCTTACGAAGCAAAATGCCAAATGCTTCGTACCTACGAAGAATTTGCTCCCCACGAAGCGTCCAAATCCTTTGTATTACAAAGGATTTGGCATTTTTCTTCGTAAGACTTTAACAGTGCGGGTGACGGTGCCTACTGCCAAGCATGGCATCCAGAGCGCTTCTGCTTTTATGAGACGTAAATAAGTACGACTTTGGTGTTGGAAGAGTGGATCCTTAAACTCTGAAGGAAGTCTATTTGTTCCGCTTTTTCGCCTTTCCTCAGACACAAGTGTCTCCAGATCGGCCACACTATGGATCACAGTTGTGCCTGAGGAAAGCTTATGAAAAGCATGACAATGCAGACTTTCTTCTGACTTCGTAGATCTATTCTTCCTTCACCGTAGTCGTATAGATCCTTTAAGTGTTCCCACGGTCCCCCCACCCTACATAGCGCCGCGTCTCCTAGCAACGCGATCCAAACAAACCGAGGGGCACAGTCCGGCGGCGGGCAGAGCGGCGGTCCAGCGCGCTGGCTGCGTACCTCGGTCTTTTTGGGTCGCGTTGCTAGGCGACGCGGCGCTAGGGTGCGGGGGACCGTGGGAACACAAAAAGATTCTATGACTTACACCTACAGTCAGTTGCCCATATTCCAAACGAAATTTGTCGTGTTTTCTTGATAACTCCCGACTTATTAGAGATATGAAATTGGGCGCGGGAATGAAGAAACTAGACTCTCGGCCCTACCCTTTTCCGTAGTGCAAAGCTTTATAATACCTGACTTTGTTTGTCTGCAAGAGCCCGAAATTAAGAACAAAAGGTTCTTAATTTCGGACAAAACCGTTTCCCGCTCACACGGTAAAAACGAAGTCCCATATTTTGAGGGAAAAAGGAAAACTTTAAGGAAGTCAGTAACTTTGAGGGATCTTTCTTGAAAAATAAGAACTACCCTCAAAGTAAGTCACAAATTTTGAGGAAGTCCCTCAAAGTTGGCGTGGCTAGCATGACGAGCTGCTACGCCCACTTAGCTACTTTAGAGCTTTGTAGCAACTGATCAAATTTTCAGTTGGTCAAATTTAAAGTGATTCTCTTAGTTTTGGAGTTGCGGAACTCGTCCTGCAAAGTTTGATGCGTGTGCAATGAGAAGAAACGAAACTGATTTTTTGAATGACGTGTGCAAGGCAAGTACGTCTGAAAGCACGTAAACCAAATCTGGGAGATCCTCAAAGTTTTCCCTTTCTCCTTAACAAATGAGACATTGTTTTTACCGTGCCAGAGCTGCGCGCCGCCCCTCGCTGAGCCATTCCCAAAGGGTCAGCCAGGTGTCGGCGCAGTGCCTAAGGCAGATACCCCCGGCATTGAGGATTTACTCCTAGATGTTTTGATGTCGAGTTTTGAATTTTACTGCCTGCCCCGTCTTGAAATTCTATTATCAGCTTAGAGCTACAGATATTTCGAGATTTCCGGAAAGAAGTTTTCCTTCTCGGAATTCTTTTACAGTAAGGTTCTCAACCTCTCCTCTCCTTAAAGCCTGAAAGGAGTACAGTTGTGCCCCTAAATAGGCACTTGCCCAATTGAAGACCTTTGCAAGAGGACATTTCTCTGGAATAACAAAATCAAACATAATTAAGATCTTTCCAAAAACCACCAATTTACAAGGAGCCTTAATGAAGACGTTTTAAAGATAAACAAAAAATTTGAAAAAAAATCGTTGGTGTGCACTAACCAAACAATGTGGAGAGGTCTGCCATCTCTTCTTTCGAAGCTTTTTCAAGGACATCCATTTTTGTCAGAAATTCTGGTTCACTCTCGGTGAAATACTTTGCCCGATCTGATAATTTGGGCATGTTCTGCCCGAAGTTCGCTTGCTTATTGATTGTGTCAATTTCCACAGCTCTCTTGACATTACGCAGGCTGTCGTTAAGCATATTTTTTGAATTTTTCAAGCTATCTTCAAATTTAGCACGCTAAAAAAGTAAAATAAACTTATCAATTATGTAACAACCATAAAAACACACGAGCACGAATTTTTGCGAATGGGTTTGTTCATGTCAACAAGACTAACAAGAACTGATTTAATTACCTCTTGTTGGTCCTGTGGGTAACCCGCATAATTCATGCCGTAGTTTAGGGCTTGCTCTATGATCCAAATAATTGCGCAATAATAAGTTCGGCTCGTGTTGGCTGAAATATCTGCCTGCTTTTCAGCTATTTGGATGTACTCAACAATTCGGTGAGATCTTGTTAGTGACTGCCAATTGTCCAGTTGCCCCATAGCCGCATAGCCCAGTAGTCTAATTTTTGTCACAACTTGCTGGGCCAGGGTCTTTTTGGTAGTTGCCGTTCTCTCCGCTACCTCTTCTTTCTTCCTGGCTATAGCTAACGTTACTATGGGGTCACCTTCATCCAAAAGCGGGTAACCTAGTTTAAACTGCTAATAAACAAGGGGCCAATGTGTCTAACCATGTGTGTGGCGTCAGGTGTCAAGTAAGCTCATAAAATGAACGCGCAGGCCAAGATGTGTAAGGTAGAAAGATGTGCACGACTACACGTGCATATACTTACCCGTTTTTAAAATTCCGAACATAGTATAGGAAAATTGTCATCATCTAGTAAATTTCCTATACATGTGTTCAGGAAAATGTGCGTATCAGCTCGCCTACCAGACACGTATAGGAATTTTGACATACATTTAGAGAGAGTTTCCTTTACACTTTGCACTTTTCCCCCGTACACATCTCCCCAAATGGGAAGTTTCCTATACACTGAAAGGAATTTTCATTTCCGATACGGTGTATAGGAAATTTCCTGGTATGGTAGAATTCCTAACATTTTTTGTGTACGCTACGAACCCAAGTAATTTACCAGTCGCATGGAACTAGTTTTACCGTGTTGAAAATAAAGGTGTAATCATGCTTTATCAAACAACCCTGGTTCGAGGTGCCAGTTCAACGTTTTATATCTCTGTGGTGATCTATAAGAGTGACGTAAGTGCACTTCCGTCCGACAGTTGTTAACTGAGTTATTGCTTGCATAAAATTCTCTAAGTTGTTGCGCATCTTTTGCTCCAATTAAATCTTATCTATTCAAATTAGGGAGGGCTGGGTGAGCTCAGAAAATATGTCATAAGTCAAATTCTGGGCTCTTCAGTCAATGAAAGTGACGTATGTATACTTGCGCCACTATTTTAAGCAAAATTTTGTCGCAAGCATAGTTGCGTCACTGTAGCATATTTAAATTTGTCGTAATGTTGACTTGCGTCACTTGCTATGATTTATGTGAGTACTCTGAACACTGCTTCTCACGAAACAACACAAGTTACCTCTTGATGGTTTGGGTATTATCTCATTGTCTAAGGCAACGGGTTACGAATTATATTTATAATTTCAATATTTTCCATCAGCCTCAAACAAACAGTGGTTTTCTTTCAAACTAGTAGCTAAATCTGTCTCAATCGAGGGGGAAACGACTGTTAAACTTTGTGTCAGCCGGATTACAGATTACCCGGATTACCTCCGGATTACGTTGCTATTTCTCTAGGATTACCCCGGATTACCCGCAAAATTTTCTCGGATTACCTCAAAATTCCCCCGGATTACCACGGATTTTTTAGAATTTCCTCGGATTACCCCTGCCGGATTACCTTTCGGCTGTCAGCCGGATTACCTTAGTCGTTTCCCCCTCGGTCTCAATATGTGGTCAAGAATATATTAATTATGGCTTAGAGGCCCACTCTACTGAAAAGCATTCTCTAGAATTGTGGCGTAAGTGTACTTGCGTCACTCTTACAGACCTGCCTACCATTGAAAAGTGACGTAAAGTCAGCTAACATCTAAAATATAAGGAAAAATCACAATGTTTCAGTTTGGGTGTTTGCAAGCATAAATATCTAATCAAGATCAAAAGAAAAAGTTTTAAAACGTTTCATAGGGATTTTGGGGAACGTTTTATTTCTCTCCTGAAATTTTTTTTTATTGATATCGTCACTCTTATGGATCACCACAGATCTGTCAACACTGTTCACCCCACGGGCCCAGCTATCTTTTCACCAAACGCGCAGCGAGGAGATAAATTATCGTGGGCAGGTGGGGATTTTTTGACGAACGACCTCTTACCCACGTGCCATGCAACGCCATCCAGAGAAGCTTGAGTGCCGTGCGCCGCTGAGTCGGGGAGACCTCCTCGAGGCGGGTGGCCAGGAGTGCGCTCATCGTGAGCGTCTGCCGGGGCTTTCCACTGCTTGCCAACAGAAAGTTTACGACACTGTAAAGAGCAATAACAATATCCTATACGCACCGGGTTCATTAAGGAACTTTTAATACCTATCCGGTTTTGTCGTCCATAGGCACTTCATTCTGAAAATTAAGACAGGTAAAGTATAAGTGGACTATTTTTGAGGTTTAAGATAGGGCAAGGGCATGTCGCACTTTAAGGTAAAGCTTGGGTGTAACTGGAAAAGTCGAGTGAAAAACAGTAGTGTTTTTTTCCGCTTGAAATATAAATGCTAGTAAAGTTAAGAAAAAGCTCTACACTAATCTAAGTTAGCATGTTGCGGTTCTTTTGACATTTTACAAGTTTGTACATATATCAAGAATTCCGAGGCAAACGTCAGCAGGTGAGGCGTGTCCCACTTTCCCTACCGTCTCCATTTATGGACACGCAGCTTGTAAGTACCTCCAACGCTTGCATGAGGACGCTACGTTAAGAATGTTTTCAGATGTAAATTAAAACACATTGTTCAGTAGGTCGACCCCTTATTATTTTTTCAATCGACTCTCATGTGGGATAACGAGATAATTTGTACCACAGTTCGTTGGTCCACGAGCTGGACACGCATCTTGTAAGTCCCTCTAACACATGTGTGAGGACACAATTTTGCGAATGAATTTCTTAAAACAAATGTCCTAGATCTATTTCTGAAAATGTTCAAAATGCGATGTAGCCGCGATAATGCGACAATGATGTTACCAATCGTCGCATCGGTTTTCTTGTTCCCAGCTCCTGCACACGATTTTAACCTCGTTCCTCGGGTCTTTGGTCAAAACTTCAAAACGTAAGTAACAAAGCAGGCCCGCCCTTCCGCCAAACGAAGTAGCCAGCTTCACTTCGCTCCGCAGGCAACTCCGGCAGGGGCCGGCCCTGCTTGACATGCAGGCGGCGTTTGGTCAGGCCTGCGGCAGAGCATTGCAAAAAGGCCTCCTCTGACCGACCGAGCTGACCGACGCGCGGCCAGAGCTGGACCAACGCTGACCAAGGCGCAGTCAGCGGTAACCGCTCACAAGCCGCTCGCAGGTAAGAGGTCGGGAGAGGAGACTGTGTGGAATCGCCCCTCCTCACCTCTCACCTGCAAGCGTCTCGTAAGCGGTCACCGCTGACCGCGCCTCGGTCAGAGGAGGACTTTTCGCAATGCTCTGCTGCAGCTCGACCTATAAGTCACTATATATCAAACAAACTAAGGCTTTCGGGGGGAGGGGGGCTGCGACTAAAGATTAGCTCGTTGGACATGAAAAAGACTGTGACAGTACGACACCGTGACTACACCCTACCCTTCTGCTTTCAAAATAAAGAAAACAAGCAGGCCCGCCCTTCCGCCAAACGAAGTTGCCAGCTCCGCTTCGCTGCGCCGGCAACTCCGTTCGGCAGGGGCCGGGCCTGCTTGGCCTGCCGGCGGCGATGGTCGGGCCTGCGGCCCGACCATTTCTGTCACGCGAT